CCAAATGGTTTGGGGCATCGTTATTACATTCATCATTCAAAACCACTCAAACTGGAACTTCCCAGTAAAGCAATTGAACTATTAGTCAGCGTACCTTGCAGAAACGGCCAAGACAGAGCCGAAAAAATATTCTGGGTTTTGTCGGTTTGATTGTGTCTTTCGTTAAGGACTTTCTAAATGTTCATTTATTAATACAAACTGGCTCGGAATGTATTTGAACCTCTTGTTTACAGGTACTTTGACGTTATGCTCACATGTACGTATCTTTAGATGATTAGTTGAGATTTTCGGTTTTGCATCAAGGACTCCCGCTCATTCAATCTGTTTAATTTCATGCCATTTATTTTCCATACTCACTACATGAAATAACACACACGCACGCACACTAAAACAAACTTTTTGCAAAACTAAAGAGGGTCTAGTAACGACGCAAAATGACAGCCAGTCTCCTGCATAAACAACCTGGCTGGGTCACTTATTTAAAAGCTAACTATTCGACGTTCTTTCTGAATTCACGGGACATAAAGGGTAAAACATTTTTTGAGTCATCTAGGAAGGGGCCTTAGAGAAGTAAAAAGATTTTGCCGATTATTTTAATATAATATAAATAACAAGTACACTTTTGGCGGTTTCTGAATGCAGTCGTTGGGGAGGGAGACACAAGAGGGAAAAAAAGAGTTCAAATCCATTTTATTAACTGCTTGAGTCAGATATTTTGATATTTTACAATGAAAACATAACAATCCCTGACGAAAACATGGAAGATGCGCCTTAACAATAGGTAACATATTGCACAAGATAGTCAAGCCGTATGATCCGTCATATACAGGGTGTCCCAAAAAATCTGTACGCATTTAAAATAATTGTAAGCTTGGAGTTTATTGTAATTTTATTATTTAAAAAGAATGGAAAAAATATTTCCAAGTATAATTTTATCGTTTTTCCACTACATTTGACTATAACAGCAGTGATTGAGTTGATAAAAGCCACTGAACATAAATGCACCCGAATAATGAGGGGATTGTTTCATTTTGTGTGTTGATTTCATTGCTTCGCTTTGTCAGCAGTGTCATGATCAAAAATTGACGTCAGTTTGAGAACGTTTAGTATAAAAAAACAATAAAATAGTAATCGAAATATCTTTGCATTTTTTGAAATCATAAAATTATGATGATTACCAATTTATAATTACGTAAAACGTGTATGCATTTTTTAGACACCCTGTATATATTAAGGACGAACAAACTTCAATTATTTAGACATGGACCAATAAATATGGTAAAGGTTTGTGGACTGTTTGTTTGGTGGTCAAAATTGGCTTTCGTGGTAGAAGTTCCTTTTCATAAAATAATTGGCACGGATTGTGTTATATATTAGGAGCGCTTATGACATAAACGTCCCTTATATTTACACACGACTACCCACTACTGTGTAGCGGATTTATCCGTCTTCTTGTAGAAGAAGACTCTGTCTGTTATATCTCAAAAGAGGAATGCCCAAAGGTGATCAAAATATACTCAAAACTGACGGGAGCCTGTAGTATATGTCATTTCATTATAACCGATTATTCGTAAAATTTTCGCAGAAAGGATGCTGTAGAGAAGTGTTTTGGAAAATTAAACCTTTTTTCGCCCCCATTCAATGTATGTGCACAATATTCGCCTAAAATTAACGGCCGCCCAGGATATTATTTCGCATGTTTCTGCATTTTTTCGAGATTTGCACGCAATCTTGATTAACTGGTTGCGTGATTGGCGTGAGTTTATAAATCT